AAAAATGCAATACAAGGTCATAGAAGGGATTCTCTTGCTCCTCCATACTCGTGTCTTGGTCTTCAATGTTTCTTTCAGGAAGGGGAAAGTGATGGGAGTCATCAATGCAACCTTCTTGTTCATCCTCACCACGGGAGCTCTCCGGGGTGAGTTCTTCTTGCTCCACACGGTTGTCATTGATCGCTCCTTCAACCTCCTCTTTCTCCTTCAATAATGATAGGCGATAGCTTTCACAAGCTCGTGCCACTTTCTTTTCTAGTGTCAAACCGAGAGGAGGGAGGGGTTGGAAATCCATGTCGGAGCTCGTTCTTCCAAATTTCTCATGGCTCGCCTCTTCGACGTCCTCTTTTTCTTCCAATGGTAGGAGGTGATGGTGAGCAAGTTGTGCACATGCTTGCTCGATAAGATCTCCTCACCTCTTCGTGAGTTGAAGGAGCTCCTCCGCCTCCTGAAGAAAGGTTGAGTCGATAGGGCCAGCGATGGGAATATCCGAATTGGAGCATCCTTTGTCGGTACCCCGGGAAAATTGCTCCACCATGAGCTCCCAGTTTCTCTTTGGCTCCGGTTGTGGAGTGGCACATGGTCTTGATGATTTTCCCATGAAGGCTTCCATGGCCATCTCCAACTTGGATTTCTCCTCAAGTTGTGGAGGGAAATCTTCTTGATATGGGGAAGCCTCTTCATATCCTCAGTAGTATGGTTGTTCGTCTTGGAAGGGGGGTTGGTAATAGAACCCGGATCCTTGGCGCCCCCCTTCTTGTTCACTCCATGAAGCTCCGGGGTACCCCCATTCGGGTGGTTGTGGATACCCCCACCTATTTTAGAAGCCATTGGGATGCATGATTCATAACCTACACAAACAAAAACACAAAAAGAAAATCAAACAAACACAAACCACCCTTCAAGACGAAGAGTGGATAAACAAAACACAACACCAAACACAAAACACAAACAAAAAGGCAAGATAGAAAATGCTAGAGTAACACTAAACGACCTTTTCAAAATAGTGGACCGCAGTTCCCCGGCAACGGCGCCAAAAACTTGACTCGCACGAAACTACACCACAATTTAATCCCGACTAGAGACCAAGTTTTTAAACTCTAGTCGGGTGCAGTATAGAGCAAGTATTTAAATATCGACTCGGGACGGTCCATGTACCCCTACTTCAATCGCTTAAGTTATTATCTAGCAAAACAGTTTTGGGTTTTCAAACTAAGAAAACTACAAACTAAACAAGCAATAAAGGAAAATTCTAACTAAGGGAGCTTCACCCAGGAGTTGCTTCCCCCTAACTAGCTACCAAGACTCGTTGGATTCTAATGATTGCTATGGGAAAGGTAACCGCGAGCCGCAGAGGGATGCATATATGGTCGGAGACCACAATCTCAATTGCTAAACCGAGGTAAGCATTAAAGGTCGTGTCACTCGAACCTCTCGGTTTAGATAATTGGTAGTTGACTTACTCCCTCACTCAACTCAAAGGTCGGACGGTTTAATCGCGATTAACCGATTTGCTTAAGTCAACATTGAGGGTTTCCCTAACTTAACCTAGTTAGGTGGCTTAGAAAGCGGAAGGAAAACCAACTCGATTGAGTCTCCCTTGGAAGGGGGATTTTCCTCTCTAAGCTAGGCTAAGGTGGCTAATTAGATTGCTAGCACCTACATGCACAAACCTAAGGGGGCTAAGCACAATTATGCACACTCTTTAGGTTGCTAAGCACCAAATGCACAAACCTAAGGATGCTAAGCACAAAACATGCACAACCCCTAGGTTGCTAAGCACAAGCATGCACAATCATGATAAATACTACCTGAATCATTGAATTAACCAATACCCAATGACAATCATTCAATCTAAACCAGTAATTACAACGTATTAGTTAGGGATCTACAACACCCAAAGAGAAAAGAGTGAGTTTCTAGAGAGAGAGAGGGGATTACAAATTTGAGCTCAAGATCTTCTTCTTCTAGGATTGAATCTTCCACCCAAGCCTGCAATGATGCTCCAAGATCACTCTAGCACTCTCTCTCTCTCTCACTAGAAATCCCCTTTGGTGTTTAGGTTGAAACCCTAGAGAAAGAAAGTGTTTCTTCTCCAAAAACTAGCTCTCCTTTCTCTCTTTCCATTGTTGACTTCATATTTGTCCGAAAGTGATCAGTTCACGGACGCGTTAGCCAGTTCACGGCCGTGAACACCTAAACGCGTCCGTGAACTCAGCGTCGTCCAGAACGCACAGCTTCACTTGCCTGGGTTCATTGGTGAATGGCCCCAGTTCACGGTCTTAGAGACCGTGAACTGCCTTGTCGTCAGTAACTTCAGGAACCTCGCTAGACGCCTCGATGTTCACGATTTGTCGTTGAAGTTCACGGTCTTAGGAGACCATGAATTGCCTCGTCCGGCCGTGAACTGCGGCTGTTTCCTGGGAATATCCCAAAACTCGTCCTCGACCCTTCCACACGTGCTAGGACCTAAAATGTATCAAAACAAGCACACTCCTTAGGTTGCTAAGCACCAAATGCACAAACCTATGGATGCTAAGCACAAAACATGCACAACCCCTATGTTGCTAAGCACAAGCATGCACAATCATGATAAATACTATCTCAATTATTGAATTAACCAATACCCAATGACAATCATTCAATCTAAACAAGTAATTACAACGTATTAGTTAGGGATCTACAACACCCAAAGAGAAAAGAGTGAGTTTCTAGAGAGAGAGAGAGGGGTTACAAATATGAGCTCAAGAACTTATTCTTCTTCTTCTTCTTCTAGACTTGAATCTTCCACCCAAGCCTCCAATGATACTCCAAGATCACTCTAGCACTCTCTCTCTCTCTCTCTCTCTCTCTCTCACACACACTAGAACTCCCCTTTGGTGTTTAGGTTGAAACCCTAAAGAAAGAAAGTGTTTCTTCTCCAAAAACCAGCTCTCATTTCTCTCTCTCTGCTACTGTCTTCATATTTGCCCGAAATGATGCATAGATTTGGTTTTTGTTTTTTTTTTCATAATTATTTTGTTAAGTGATAGTATAAAATAAATAAAAATTGCATTAAAATTCCACATTAGCTGCCACTTCAACGCTGACTAGACTTTATGTTAAATATTAACGGTCAACGTCGGTCGACACTAACGGAAAAATAGTTCAGGACATAAATGGAATATTGGATAAAATAGGACACAAGTGGCATTTTTCGAATTTTTCGGGTGGTGTAGTGGTATTAGTCCTATTGTTTACATCAAACATGCACCTATATATACTTTGAAAAAATGATCAAACATGCCCTTATGTTAAAATTTCATCCAAAACCCGTCAACCACGCTCGATACTTGATTTGGGTGACACAAATGTCTAACATATCTCTAATGATTTCACTTTAGAATTTTTGGGTTCTTTTGTATTGCCAAATACCACTAATAATTTCACTATAACGAGACCTAGAGAAGTAAATCAGGGGATAAAACTAACATTTTTCGTCTCATTTGTCGATGTCGGGTCATCTAAATCTCGGTTCAACCATGGTGCACGATCTTTTCAATGAAAATTATAACATAATGGCATGTTTGATCATTTTTTTAAAGTACAGGGCATGTTTGATGCGAAAAATAGTAGAGGGACATGTTTGATAAAACATCATAATAGAGGGGCATATATACCCATAACCCATTGTGTAGAGAAAATTTACGCTTTTTGTCACTTTAACACAATTATAAGTTTATAACTTCCATCACAATATCTATTGGACATTGCACAACACATAGTAACCAATAATAGTAGTCCAAAAATATTCTTTATCCTCCACCTCTATAAGTCGATGGTCAATGTGTAGTGCGATTAGTAAATATGATGTCTATTCGATAGTATAAACAAGAAACAACTCTTTGTCATGTGAAAATATGATGCAGGTCATTCAGGTAACCTGGAATCCACCCACCACCCACCCGAACAAATGCGGATAAAAGATCTAAAAAAATGCAATCCACCTACATCAATCACTCACTCACAACAATTCGCGTTATTTTAAGAGTAGATAAATATCAAATCGTGAATTAACTACAATTGCACCAACTCGCTCCTCTATATATTTTTAAGTTTTTGGACCCAATTAACATACAGGTGACTGTATGGTATGTGTATCAGATCAAGTGACGCTAGAAAGGGAAATTGCACTGCTGTATGTCTATATTCTTGTCTCTTTATTATGAATCGGCTTATACATATAGAACATTCCGACCTTAGCTCAGTTGGTAGAGCGGAGGACTGTAGTAGAAACGAACTGTTATCCTTAGGTCGCTGGTTCGAATCCGGCAGGTCGGAATTCTTTTCACCCTTCATTTCTGTGTTTTTTTTAGCTTTTTCTTTTTACCATAAGCAAAGAAAGAATGATATCCTCTTTAGTCTTTACACCAATCCTCTGTTTTCACCTCCTTGAAAAACAGAGCACTGAATAAACGGAAAGTGGATCTCTATTCACCATCAACGACTGACGGGTCAACTAGCAAGTCAACTAGAGATTCCAGAACAGGGACCAATTCCATCTCCCAAAAAGAAAAGCAGAAACTAAAAGCTCAGAAAGTCAAGTTCCCACCAAACATTCTCCCCCACCACTGCCAATAATTTTCCACAACCTAATTCCCGCCCATGGTTTGGTGCAGAATGTATAGATATATCATAATCCGTATTGGTTTGAGCCAATAAGCATTCACAGCCATCAATGTTGAAAACCATGTTGACCCAAAAGCAGAGGAGACCTCGAGTCCACCAGAGATGGAGGCATTCAACCTAGTACTCTCTCTGTCTCTCACTCTATATATAGTAAGCAATAAATGAATACAAACCAAGCCAGAGCAGAACACTACCAATTTCTTTTTCCTTCAAAATAAAGAAATGGAAGCAAATAGAGTAGTGGGTAATCATGGTCAGCATAAATTAGCTGTTGTGCTGATCGTAATTCTGTCCATGTCCAACATGATGAACACTATTAGTGGTCAGACAATATGCAACATTCCGATCGCAGGGCTGAGGGCCTGCAAGCCGTCGGTGACGCCGCCGAGGCCTCCTCCGCCGACGGCGGACTGCTGCAGGGCCATCTCCCACGCCGATATGCGATGCCTCTGCTCCTACAAGAAATCCCCTCTGATCCCTTCGCTTGGAATCAGCGTTCCCCTTGCGGAGAAGCTCCCTGCCAAGTGCGGGCTCTCCACTGCTGCCAAATGCTAGCTTGCGAGCTTGCTAGTTGCATATACCCTACAGCGGGGTGGCTAGCTATTGCGTATCTGTCTGTGTGTGTGTGGGCGTCTTCCATGTGTTTGGGATGTGATTAATAATATAAAGCCTTAATTAAGCCCCATTTCATATGTGTTTTTGTGACCAAGTGATTAATAATATTAATGAAGCTGAGCTTCTTTTGTGTTCAAGATCTCTATTTTCTTCCTCCGTTTAGTGGTTCTGTAATCACATGAGCTAAAATACATGATCGTTTATCGCTCGTTGTTCATAATTCTTGTTGATTCATCTGAATTGTGAAGGTTTTAACACATTAGGCAATGACACTCAATCACTCATGTTCAGTAAGTTGGGTTGCCCTAATTTGGGGTTCCAGTACCAGCTTCCTGGCTATAAAGCAATGCGATATTTTAGATGAATTTCTCAAACACGTCTACAAATTCGTAAAATAACTATCTAATCATCAAGAAAACGCTCTCATTACTGACAAAATACATAGAGTAGAGTAGAGAACAAAGCACGTCGCTCAATCAACACCAGAAAAATGCCCTAGTGCATGTCCCTGACCGAGCAATTACTACATCTGGAAGCTAATTTGGACTCAGGCTATTATAAAATACTGACTTACCTTAGTGTCAGTGGCATTATGAAAATGAGCTTATTACATAAGTTACCTAGACTAGGTGGGGTTAGGGTTTCTAGCTATAGCCAAGCCAAGCCGTATAAAGGCGAACAACCCCTATAGCATTAGAAGACAATGACAGTAGATTGATCCTCTATCCCAGAACATTCCATTCACATTTGAAATAGCAGCTGAAGCTGTCTCAGAACTCTTCAATAAAGTAAATTTCTTTTCTAACATAACTCGACCGACAACGATTATTAAAATCTCTTGCTTGACTTTTTTGGTCCACTTGCTTCACTGACCTACCCATGCTTGTTGCCAATATATATATTTTATTATATTATGTCGAAGGATAAACTGAATAATATTGATTCTGAAGAGTTTTATCTCTCTCGTGGAGGCGTGAACTAGTTCTAGTTTCAGATATAGCACATAAAAGGTAAAACTATGTATTTGTGTTCTTTCGTTGAAGTGTCATCGTATCATAGCTTCTGTATTAAGATCTCCGACTACTTGTGCTCATGGTCTTCTGGGTTTGAGCAGCCTCAATAAATTATTGAATTATCCTAACTAAAGAAGCTAACCATAATTTTTAAAAATCTTCTGCTGCTTGTGTTCCTGGACTAACCTATTTATTCTAATCGGATGATCAATAATTAAGCGGGTAGTTATCACAAAAGGTCACAAACCTTTGCACTTTGTACAAAATGGTCACAAATCTTTAATTTGTAAAAAAACGGTCACAAATCTTGGAGCAAATATCAAAAAGGTAATTCTGTCTACTTCCATCCAAAAAACCGTTAGTTCTGTACAATCAGCACGCCACGTCACTAAAAATATTAATACAAAATTTAATAACTAACTCATTTGACTTGAATCAAACCAAACCCGAAATTATTAAAAAGAGAGTCGAACCTTTCACTTCCCTGCTCAACAAGCACATCGTCGTCTACGGCCTCCCTTGCTCGGCGCTCGATTCATAGTCGTCTCCCAACTCCCCTCTGAACTGTACCCATTCCGACCTCCCCTGCTCGATGCTCGAATCGCCACCGTCTCCCAACACACTCCTTTCTTTATGAAGTGGCAGGTCTCCCACCCTCACAGTTGAGACTTGACGCCTTTTAGGCTTTTCCCATTCAGTTTATCACTTTTAAATTCCCATTCTTCCTCTCTCTATGCATGTCTTCCCCTTTGTGTACTCTCGCTCCTTTGTTCTTCCTTTTCCTTTTTTTCCCCAGAAAACAAAAATTACCTTTCTTTCTCACGCATCGGAAGAGGAAAGTCGAGTTATGGAATGCCTGTGTGGTGGGAGAAAGCTGTTAACCCAATTTGTCTCTCATCTGTCCCCAAATTGTCGACCGGTGGCAGATCTGTGTGCGTCGTCTTGTAGATTTTGCGATTTGTGGCCGCCAAATGTTTTTGGTTATCCGCGCAGGGGGATTGGGGGTAGTCTGGGCAACGGCGGGGAAGGGGCGTCAGCGCGGTCGGTGCTCGCCATTGGGACAACTCCTTGAGAAAATCGGGATCGGAGGTGGGGGCGGTGAAAAGGATCGATGTTCTTCTGGTTTGATTTTTATGACAGGTGCGGGATCGACTTCCTTCTCTCTGCCGAGGCTACGGCGATGTTGGACTGAGACGGGTGAATGACTACCTTGCTGGACGGAGATGGCGACTGGCGACGGTTGATAGGGGCGGAGGAACAGCGGAGGGTGGAAGGGGGCAGAGGAAAAGTGAATGATTCGACTCTCTTTTTATTAATTCCGGGTTTGGTTTGATCCGAGTCAAATGAGTTAGTTATTGAATTTTGTATTAATATTTTAAGTGACATGGCATGCTGACTGTACAGAATTAACGGTTTTTTTTGGATGGAAGGTGACGGAATTACCTTTTTGATATTTGCTTCAAGTTTTGTGACCGTTTTTTTACAAATCAAAGGTTTGTGACCGTTTTGTACAAAGTGCAAAGATTTGTGACCTTTTGTGATAATTACCCATAATTAAGCAGTACCAACGTGAATTATTAAAAATCTCCAGTAGAGTTTTAGTATGTATATTTTAAGAAGACTTGATCTACTTTTCTTTTCTCAAGTGGACATTTTATATTTCAAGAACGGAATGAATTATTAATCTTTGATATCACAATATCGTTTGGATTGGTGATTTGAAAATTTTATTTGGGGTCAATTACCACACAAATATCACATAATAGAATACTTGTTATTGCTATGTGATATTTGGTCCCAAACAACATGTTTGTGTTATTCACTTACTTGAAAAAAAATCTCAGAATACACTAAGGGGTCGTTTGGATTAGAGATTTTGGTAACGAGGGATTTCAATTAAAATCTCTCGTTTAAAATACCAGAGAATTTGTATGCAGGATTTAGAAGAAATAATTCGTTTGGATTAAAATGCAGAATTTTAACCTTAAAGGTAAAATTACAATACTGTCCAGTCATCTTCCCTTATGTTCTTCACTTGTAATCAAATTACAGGCTGCGTCAACAATCAACTATTTTCCCCCTGCTTCTAGACCAATTACTCACAACAAATGCTTCTTTTCTTCTCTGCTTCATCACAAACCCAGAATGTAATAACTATTTGCGATCAAAGAAGAACATAACAAACCCAGAATCAGAGACAAATAAGAAACCCAAAATCGAAGAATCATTTCACTCCCTTCCAATTCCAAACAACTCTAACTGATTACCGCTTTTTGTCTTCAACTTCATATGACTGGAGTAAGTGATTGGATTTGCAGAACAAAGATAGGACTGCTAGCCGATTGAAACCCGGATTGGGCGATTCCCCTTTCACTCTCGCACCTGACCCTCCCTCCCCTATATTCCATCTGACCCTGCCGATTCCATCGCTTCTTCTCGATTCTAAACCAGTCATATTCGAACAACAAATCGGCGCCGACGTGGGGTGTCTGCGGCAGACCAGCGACCGGCAAATCTACAGGCAGAGAGCGGAGGTCTGCTCGTCTTCTTCTATCGCGGCCGCAGTGACGGCAACTGGGGCGTCAACGACAGAGAACGACGTTGGAAGGTTGACAGCTGTGGATGTGGTTGGGGAAATTGGGATGCTGCTCCGGGATGCAATGTGTCGGCGGTTGGTCGGCGGTTGGGAGTGGAGAGATTAGAGGAAGAAGGTAGGAGAAGAAGGAACAAGATACGAATGGAGGGTAGGTTTTGGAATAAATGAAAGAAGAATTAGAGATTTGAAAATAGCTGATGGTGATCAGCTATTTCAAAAACCCACGATTGAGGGTTTTTAAAATTCTTAATTGTTAAATTCTTCATGTTTTCCAAACGTAGAATTGTGTTAAAATTCTGCATAATGAGGAAATGTTTTAAAATCTCTCGCTACAATCCTTCATCCAAACGACCCCTAATTTTTTAAAACATTCCCAAAATACAGTAGTGATGAAAATATTTCTCAAAATACAGCAATTTGATCATCACCGCTGTCGACAAAGACGGTGAATATTATCACCGTTAGTAGACAACGGTGAACATATTCACCGCGCTAATGAAAAACAGTAAACAATCACTGCGTCCGTCGAAAACGGTGATACCTTCACCTCGTCTGTGAAAAACAGTGAATACATCACCGCTGTCGTCAGAAACGGGGATATTTTTCCACGTTTTTACAACTCTGGTAGGTTGGAAGATAGGTAACAATGACCTAGCTTTCACCGTCTTGGTCGAAAGTGGTGATGTGTTCACCGCAATTGTCCACTGCGGTGATTAGCCCTTATGTTTTGCTATAAAAACCCATCCCTCACGTATCTCCAGCTGCCTTACAGCAATTCAGTACAAAATTAGTGCTTTTTTGGTCCTTTTCTTAGTTGGCTTGCAGTTGGCTTACAGCAACAAGAAACTCACCGGGATTCGGTATGTTATAATTATGTATTGTTTACATGTTGATGTATTAGTAATTATATGTCTGTATTTAGAGAATTTCGGTTATTGGCAAATATGTTATGTTAGAGATATTTAGAAATTATATGACATTGAGAACCACCTTCGAACTGGGCGTACTTCGCATGACCGAATGACGATGTTGGTAATGCTGGTAACGATGATCCTCCTGAGCTGAGCTATCCATTCGGCTCCAGCGACAAGGAAAGTGAGGAAGATTTGAGATCAGTCAGTGAGGATGAAGATACGGATGATATCGAGGATAGCGAGGTGGCGTTCCGTGGAATCACTTACCACCGCTCCCCACACGGCACCTTGCTTTGACACCCATCTAAGTGTGAATTTCCGATACCACACCATGTATCCATCGTGGTACCACATTGGCCTCGTCTTCGGTAAACCTTGGACAACCCAAGTCGCTCTATTCTCCCAAATGTTGATGTATAACTCATGCTTGCGGATCCAATTCTTTGATTTGTGACGTAGGTCGATAGCATGGAGCTATTTGAACCCTTGAGGTGGGGATGTTGGAATTGGTTTCTCCATCCGATACTGCATCAATGCTCGATCCGGCAGGTGCCACTCCACCATGTGCCAACAGATCAAGGGCACCTTGCAAACCACGTCTCTACATCCCGGGGGGTGTCTAAGACGATGAATCTCGACTACTTGAGGTGGATATGGATCTCATCTCACCTACACTCATTAATGGTTTGGAATTAGTACAAATTGTATCCATTAAAAATTTAAAATGATTCAATTTGACATTTTTACCTGGTTCCACCAAGGCTTATCAAACTCAGCAAGATAAAACAGTAAAGAGTGCTCAGGCTGGTGGTCGTTTGTATTTGCTCTGATCCACCTTATTAAGAAAAAAGTACGTATATAAGATATTTTTAAAGAATATATGTTATGCTATGCATGTGAGAATTCACTAAATTCGATTCTATGGAAGCATCTAACTTCACTAAAATTGCATACTTGGAATGCATCTAAATTCGCTAAATTGCATACTTGGTATGTATCTAAATTCACTAAAATACTAAAATTGCATACTTGAAATAAAATTAGCATGTAAATTAAACTGACTTGACACCATAGGGGGGATTTGCTAGTTCGCGTAGCTCCTCATCTGGACCCTAGAATTCTCGCGGGTCTCGGGGAGCCAACATTGGAAGATGCTCCCATGCCCAGAGTTGGAGTATGAACATCGCACCTCCAGCTTGTTTCGCTATCAACCTCGAGCAAGTGCACAACTCTCGGTAGATCCCAGCCAATACGGGCGACCTCCAACTCTTTCACCCGATCTCGTCCCAATTGTAACACTTCGACCTTTAGGTTTAGGTTCGACCTTAAGACGTGATCGATTGGGGTGTCAGTTGCGTACTAATAGTTGCAATCGCGAATTAGTAATAATAATAATAATTTTTATTTTTATTTTTATTATTATAAAAAAAATACCCTACACGTTCAGGAAGGGCCGAGAGGCCATTCCTTTAATTTGGGATGCGCGTCTAAATTCCCCCCAGCAGTAGAAAAACTCTTCCCCGGCCCTCTCTGTAGTTCCTTTACCCAGAATAAACTCGCCCCAGCTACAGCGTGAGGAGAAAAAAAATAGAGGAAGAAAGAAGAAGGCGGCAGCGCCGCTAGCAGCCGAATCCGATCTCGATCACATTCCTTTCGTGTTTCTAGGTAAGGATCACGAACCTTTTCGCGATTTCTAAACTCGATTCATCGATAGACTATCTGAAGCTCGTATTTTATTAGCGGTGACGTTTGAGGGTTCGATCAACAAGGAGATCAACATCCCGGGTCATCCAACCTAGGCCTAGGCACGTTCTACAGGTAAGGGAACTCGATCCCTTTGAGTTAGGTCGATTAATTGGGGGATTTTCGTGAGGGTGCAATTCTGAGTTTTTAGCAACAGACATTCGGCCTTTAGTGACAGATTTTGGGTGGTCACTAAACCTGCTGGAAATTTGCAGAAACTTATTTTGGATGTTTTAAATTTTTTCGAGTCTCTGTGGGTGTTTGTTCCTTGATTTAATAATTTTATAAATTGAGAGAGGTCTAGGATATGGCTTTAATTTAATTTGGGGATTATTGAAGATGTATTTCAATTTTTAGAAATTGTTCGAATATTTGTTTTATTTAAATAAAGATATTTCCGAGGGGTATTTAAGGGTCTGATAATTTTTCAGGGTATAGGTACTCATGATTGATGTAGGAAAATTATTATCCGAATTTTTAAGAAGGTTCAAGTTAGGTGGAAAATTCGTCCAAGACTAAAATAATTAGGAAAAGTGTCGGTTTTGAAGGGATTGTTTCTAGAAATTTTTTTAAAGGGTATTAAGGGATCTTTGGAGCGAGCCTCGTGGGCTAGATTTTGAGGAGAGGATGTTCTAATGATTCAAAAGGGAATTCTAAATCGAGAAAGGTCGACTAAGGAGATGGCCTTCTTATTAATAGGTTAACCGAGATAATTCGGCTAGGAGGGATTTCTTCAAGTAAGGAATCGAGGAGTCATCTTTTCAAGGTGAGTGCAAAGTGGGTAAATTCTACGCCTTATGTGTTCTTTCAAGTATTACGAGCTTTAAGTATTTTGATGAAGTGATTGTCGTTGGTTGATTGTGCTTATGGTTGATGATATGTGATTTTGTTTGAGCTATGTTTGAAGTGAATGTGCATGAGTTATTATTTACTTTAAAGCTTTACATATATAAGTTATTGTTAAAGTTTAAGAAACAAGTTCTTTTTAAGATATAACTCACCTTCAAGAAGGTGAAGTCATTTTAAGTGTTTTTAGTCACTAGCGCCAGTCCGTTGCCATTTGAGATTTTCAGACAGAGCAGCAGTTATGCTCTTGAGATTTTAAGATGAGCAACAATTATGCTCTTGAGATATTTTAAGATGAGCAGCAGTTATGCTCCTGAGAATCGTGGTGAAGAGCCACCATGCTAAGTTTAAGTTTAAGGAAAGCCTGGATGGTTTCTCATACGTATGAGTTGGCAACCGGGCTAGCTAGTGAGAGATCCCAGTGTCAGTCAAATATTTAAGTTGAGATTTGAGCTTTAATAATAAATTTTAAAGATTGAAAGTATCATCCACCAGTTTAAGTTAAGTTCTTAAGTAAGAAATACTAGAGATTTCAAACGTAAGGGCGTAGACTGACCACAACTCACTCACCAGATCGTAGAGGAGGAAATCCTAACCTGCCAGTCCGTGATCAGCAAGCTAGAGGAGCTCAAAACCACCATCGCTGAGAGATGTCGAGCCACGCGTTAGAGTAAGCATCGAATAACTTTTTCAAGTTATTAAGACTTTATGGTTAAGAGTTAAAGACTGGAGATTCATTTCCTTTGGACGATTTGAGTTTTGCCCATGTGTTTAGGGCTTCGATTTGAGATATTAAGATATTTAAATTTGGTATTTTATTTAAAGTTGTGTTATTTGAGATTTTTAATTATACCTCGGGGTAGAAATGTCTTTTTACAAGTTTAAAGTAGTGAGATGTTTCACCAATCACCGAGGAGCAACGGCAACCACATGCCTTGTGTCCACCGGTTTGTCTTGTCGGGGAACAAAAATCCACCAACCAACCCAATGAGGTAGACGCGTGCATATCGCTCCACCTGATCTTCGGGGGTGTCTGGTCCTAAATTAACCTCCTGTTGGATGTGTTCAACAAGCCACGGGATTGAAACTTGCCCTGCATTGAGCGGTGGATGCCCAGCCCCTTGAACGGGCGTTGTGGTTGGCATGTTGAACCCCAAACTCTCGAGAATCAACGGCCCCCAACCACCATCGGGTTTACTCTAGTTGTCGATGATGGCCTCTCCAGTGACCGGCAGCCCGGTGAGGATGGCAACATCTCTGAGGGTGATCGTCATTTCCCCCTCGGGAAAGTGGAAGGTATGCAACTCAGGGCGCCATCGCTGTGCCATTGATGTAAGCAGATCGTTGTCGATATCAAGTCTCATGAAGTGCCTCAACATGTGCAATCCCGTCCTCTCTAGATAGGGCTCCAGTCGAGGATGCCAAAAAGGAAATGGACATGTCCCTCGATGACTGATGGGAATAAGTGATTCCTACAAAACAAAAAATACAATGTTGTTAGAAAAAAAAGGCAAAACAAAAAGTTTTAACATGATGAAATAATTTAAAAATTTATACGGTATAGAGTGTCTACCGGATTATCGTCCCAAATTGCACGGGAGCGATGTTGTTCTTGCTCGTTTAAATATTTTCAATCCCTTGGGCCAGGATCGATATACAATCGAGGGTCGTATATCTCAGCTCCCATCTATAAACAAATGTGAAATGAAATTAGATTATTTCAAACCCGTGAAATAAAACTAGTGTATTCTGGGATTTTTTCCCAAATACTTGACCCCTCCAAGTATTTGGCAAATAACGGATTTGTGTTATTGACGAACAACCACATCCTTTTTTTCCAACCAAACATGTTATTTGTGTCAGATAACACACCCAATCAATAAATCCAAACAAACTGTACATATATATTCAATTGGAGTTGAGATGGCAGCTATTTTTTCCAACCTATAAACTTTTAATTGGAGTGAGGTTTCTATTGAACTTTGGTAGTTGAGCTCTTTCAATAGTGATTTCCTTCTAGTTTTTGTGACTTCAGCATAGCTGTGGTCAGGTTCTACAAAATTGTGGTTTGGTTAGGTTGCATCGATTGTCTTGGTGGTACTCAATCAAGCTCTCCAAATCTGGAAAAAAAACTCGAGGTTATTTGGACTCCTCTGTTAAGTATAATGTGGTGAGAAAATGTCTCAACATCCGACTTTAGCTCAGTTGGTAGAGCGGAGGACTGTAGTTGTATTGTAACTGTTATCCTTAGGTCGCTGGTTCGAATCCGGCAAGTCGGACATTACTTTTCAATTTATGATTGTCTTCTCTCCTTTTTTTTTTTTTTTTTTTTTTATCTTACGTTGAGTTATTCCTGGTCAATTTTGCAAAATCCTCTGTTTTGGCCTCCATGGAAATACAGAGCATAGAATTGAATCCACCACATCTTCCGTCACTCCATCTTGTCATCTTTAAACACAAATGCATCAGCATCTTCTCTTTTCTACACCAAGGTCTGTACAGTACAGCAGCCTGACCCCATCCCTATATTTCCATCAACTTGACAACTTCTTATCGCTCTATTTCCAACCAACCCATTAACCGCACCAACTTGTAGTCTTGTACCAAAAGATTCAGAAACTTCAAACTTCCAAAGGGACCCGCCTTTACCCACGTTTCGGTTTGTGTAGAAATGATGAAAAAAAGGCCACGACTTTCTGGGTCAACATACTCCTTTCACACACCCAGGCATGATGCAATTGCAAGGAAAGCCACCAAGTCAAGGTGAGTGATGAGTCCGTAGTCTATATCAATGTAAAGATTTCCCCGCTAAATAACATAAGCTGATATCACTCAGACAAAACTAAAATAAAAAACAAGACCAGAAATTTCCCATGACTCTTACCCCTGCTGCAGCAGTATTACTGCCCTTCTGCTGGTTGTTCTTCTTCATGGCAATCAGCAGCTTCACCTATGGAAGCCTCGTGCTGGCCTGCCAGTCTACTGAAAGGCGGGCTCTTTTAGATCTCAAAAAGGGCTTGGTCGACTCTTCCGACTGGCTCGAGTCCTGGGCAACTGGTGATTGCTGCAAATGGTCAGGAGTCGTCTGCCACAATGTTACGGGCCATGTCACTGAGCTCCATCTCGGAGCTGCTGATTTGCCTCCACTGACGACGTTCAGTGGAGAGATCAGCCCTTCTCTAGGCGATCTGAAGCAGCTGAGCTACTTGGACTTGAGCAACAACGACTTCTCGGGGTCCTCGGTACCTGACTTCCTCGGCCATCTCGCGAACTTGAGGCTGCTCAACCTTTCCGGAGCAGGGTTCACTGGGACGATCCCTCCCCAGCTCGGGAACCTCTCGCGTCTAAGGTACCTGAACTTGCAAACTAACTATGGCGGGAACCTCACCGTCGAACACTTGGACTGGATTTCCGGTCTGTCTAGGATGGAGTTTTTGGATTTGAGCTATGTGGATCTCGGTATAGCCTCCAATTGGCTCACCGTGGTGAACAAGCTTCATTTCCTGCAAGAACTCCACTTGTCAAACTGCAGACTTCGTTCCATTCCCAGTTCCCTCAATAATGTCAACTTTTCGTCGCTTTCTGTTCTTGATCTTTCCTACAACAACTTTGACGATCCTTTGTTCCCGAGTTGGTCCTTCCATCTTGGTTCTCTGACAACCCTCAACCTCGCAAACAACCGGTTTCGTGGTCCGATTCCTGAGGGTCTGCACAACATGACTTCCCTCAGGCAACTTGATCTGTCCTGGAACCAATTCACCTCCTTGGAACCAAACTGCTTTCTTGGGTTGAGCCAGCTTCAGCTTCTCAACCTTGCGCAGAACGGGTTGGAAGGCGAGATCTTTTCAGGTGCTATGCAAAACATGACTTCTCTCATAGACCTGGATTTGTCCTCCAATGATAGGCTCGAGTCTCGGGATGGGATTCCAGACTACTTCAGAACTTTTTGCAGCCTGAGGACTGTAACTCTGTCAGGGGTCAATTTAAGGCAGGAGGTTGATGAAGCTCTCAGGGTTCTTTCAGGATGCCCTGCAAGAACTTTAGAGTCTATCAGGCTTTCTAACTGTCAACTGTTTGGTCACCTGATTAACATTCCTTTCAGAAACTTTCAGAAGCTAGACACTCTATCCTTGTCAAGAAACATAATTGCAGGTCAAATTCCAGCGTCTTTGACCGATCTGGCATCTTTGAGATACCTTGAGATTTTCAGCAACAAGTTGGACGGGCCTCTTCCTTTAGGTATTGGAAGCCTCTCACAGTTAGAATCCATTGACATCTCAGAGAATTCATTGGAAGGTGATGTTGAGGAATCTCATTTCCACAACTTCACAAAGCTTTGGCTTTTCCAAGCATCAGGAAACAGACTGAGCTTGAAAGTTGGTCCCCGGTGGACACCTCCACCACAGATAGAGATTCTGGGGATGGGATTCTGGCATTTGGGACCTCAGTTTCCCGCTTGGATCCGCTCATTGAAGCTTTTGACAGAGCTCAACATGTCGAGCTCAGGAATTTCGAGCTCCATACCATCTTGGTTGTTCTTCAACTCACACTTCTACAGCATCGATCTCAGCTCTAATCTTTTGAATGGTCCGTTGCCAAACATCTATCCTTTCATGAGTATTTTAGACCTTTCCAACAATTCGCTGTCTGGATCTCTATCAGACTTCCTGTGTTACAAACCGGATGAAGAGAAAACCATGCAAGTGATGAACCTTGGAGCAAATGAGTTCCTTGGAGAGATTCCTGATTGCTGGAGGAGTTGGAAGTTCCTGGAGGCCATAAAGTTGAGCAGCAACAAGTTTCGAGGTAAAATCCCTCCATCACTAGGAGCACTCGCATTCCTCCAGTCACTTCACCTTCGAAACAACAATCTCTCTGGAGAAATCCCACCATCACTTGCAAACAGTACCAAGATGGTGGCCCTTGACTTCAGCAGAAACAATTTGGAAGGAAGCCTTCCAGCTTGGATAGGTGGTGGGTTTTCAGGAATGATGATTCTCAACCTGAGGGACAACAAGTTCCACGGTCAGATACCGAAGGAGCTTTGCGTGGCGAACTCCTTACGCATTCTGGACCTTGCTGACAATAATCTCACTGGTGAAATACCCAGATGTTTCAACAACTTCACTGCAATGGTTCAAATGAATGATTCCGAGGGTGTCATCCAGCTGAGCTACAATGGCACAGGCCCATTCTTCGAGACAGCAGTGGTTGTGATCAAAGGGAAGTTGTATGAATATGGCTCCATCCTCAAATTTGTGAGAAGCATTGACCTGTCAATGAACAAATTAGTTGGGAAGGTGCCCGAAGAGATTACGAGACTTGGAGGTTTGCAGTCTCTAAATCTGTCAGATAATTCCCTCACAGGAGACATCCCCCGAGACATAGGATCCATGAGATCCCTGGAATCGATCGACCTTTCTCTCAACCAAATCTCTGGTGAAATCCCTCCAAGCATGTCTGGGATGACATTTCTGAGCTTTCTGAACTTCTCCTCCAACAGATTGAGTGGCAGGATTCCTTCCAGCACTCAACTGCAGAGCCTGAACTCCTCCAGTTTTGCTGGAAATAAGGACCTCTGCGGTCTTCCACTTGCGAAGAATTGCACCAGAGACCGAGTTACTGATGAAAGCGGTGGAAATGGGAGGGATGAGCCTGATGAAGGGGATGGGAGTGGCTCGGAATTTAAATGGTTTTATGTCAGCTTGGCACTTGGTTTCATAGTGGGCTTTTGGGGTGTGGTGGGTTCCATGGTACTCAATAAGCAGTGGAGGTATGGCTACTTTCATTTTGTGGATCTTCTGTGGGACAAACTATGTTGCCGCTACTGACCTTTCTCTGCAGAAAGCTGGCAAAGAGAACCTGGGTTTGTTCCTCATGAAGCTAGCAGTCACTTGAAGGCAATAGGTTCTTATTGGACTTGGTTGTGCGTTTCTCACTCCATGTAGAGTGTTTTGTAATTTTCCCTTTTACCCGTGTGTATTGGCGAAGGGTATAAATGGCTGGCTGCTCACCTGCAGCAGTCAAGAAAAAACCCTATGCTTATGTTCGCTTCTCGTCATAGTGAAAACTCATCTTGAGAGCTGTGTTCTCCGTGGATTAGTCCCGGTTTCCGGGGATACCACGTAATTCTCGGTGTTGTTTTATTTCCGCATTCGCTTTTTATCATGGTATCAGAGCACAAGATTCAGTCCTAGTTTTTTTTTGATTCATCATGAGTTCGACGGAGACTTCTGACGGCGACAAACCGATCGGCTCTTTGAGTTCGGAGGCCATACCAATCAGCTCTCCTCTTTACCTTCATCCGTCCGAAAATCCTGCTCAACTCTTTGGTAGTGATTTGCTGAATGATCTGAATTATGGTGAGTGGGTCAAAGACCTCACCGAAACCCTAATCGCCAAAAACAAGCTTGCTTTTGTCGATGGCTCGCTTCCTCGTGCTCAGGCTGGTTCTGCTCGTCATCAGGAGGCTTGGGACCGATGCGATGCCACCGTCAAAGGGTGGTTGAAGACTGCGATGACCCGAGAGGTCCGCAACAGCGTGCGCATGGCCACTACGGCTCATGCAATCTGGACGGATCTTCAGCGGCGCTTCAGCCGTGGGTCGGCGCAACGGGCGTATGAATTACGTCGCATGATCGCCTCTTCCCGCCAAGAGAAGTTGTCCGTTTCAGCGTTTTACACAAAGCTTCGCTCATATTGGGATGAGATGGATGCAGTGGGTGGCTTGCCGCGCTGTACGTGTACTGGTTGCTCTTGCGGCGGCTGCCGCTGCAATCTTCCCAACCAATATCAAACTCGGCTGGAGACGGAACGCCTTTTTGACTTTCTTCTTGGCCTCGACGATGCTTACTCCGTCGTTCGATCCCAGATCCTTAGCACGAGGCCAATACCATCCCTTGCTGAAGCCTATCAAACTGTTGCGGCTGAAGAGCAGCATCGGCTCATTACTTCTAATCGCCGCCCTGTTATTGACACGGCTGTTTTCCAAGCTCAGGTGGATAAGGACCCCAAGGATGATCGCGAGAAACCTCGTTGCTCGCATTGCAACAAACTCGGCCACTTGCGGGAGACCTGTTATCGCCTCATTGGCTTTCCCCCTGGCCATCCTCGTGCAAAGCAGGGAGACGAGCGAGCCACTCCGGCACCGCGGCGTTCTAAAGCTGCTCATGTTGAGCCCGAGGCAGCCGAGTCCACCGCGAGTCCACTCCCTGGTCTCACGGCAGCACAGTTCGCTCAACTAAAGCTCTTTTTATCCTCTCCAGCCTCTGACGCACCTTCCGAGCCTACTGCACATATGGCGGGTAATTCTTCTGACCTTTATGAGTGGTTGATCGATTCGGGGTGTAATGAACACATAGTCAGGGATGCTCGTTGGTTACATTCTGTTGATTCTGTTGATGGATTATCTAAAGTCCAGATCCCTGATGGGTCTGGCATCCCAGTCAAAGGGGTTGGGTCAGTTCGTTTGTCAGCTTCTCTTAATCTGGATCGCGTCTTACATGTTTCGGACTTCAGGTGTAATCTGCTGTCTGTGAGTCGCTTGACTCACGATCATAATGTTGGGGTTATGTTCTTACACGACTTCTGTGTACTCCAGGACTTACGTTCCAGGATGCTGATTGGCGTCGGTAAGCTACGAGATGGCCTCTACTACTTGTGTCGAGATTCTCTTGGTCCGTTTCCTCAGGCGTGCCTTGGCAACTCTGAGGCTGTTGATTTATGGCATGCCCGTTTGGGGCACCCCTCTGTCGATAAGATAATTTCATTACAGAATTTTGTGGGTTGTAATTTGTCTACTCGGAATCTTTCTCATTGTGACTCTTGTTTGCGTGCTAAGCAAACTCGGAACCCTTTTCCTCATAGTTCAATCAAAACAGCTGGTTGTTTCGATCATGTTCATGTGGATATTTGGGGACCCTATCGTTCACCAGCTTTGGATGGCTCTCGTTACTTTCTCACTATTGTGGACAATTTCAGTCGTTCTACTTGGGTTTACTTGATGAAATTCAAGTCCGACGTTGAACGCTACCTTAGGTTGTACTGCGAGCTAGCCATTACTCTGTATCATAGGCAGGTTCGTCGCATTCAGGCTGACAATGGATCGGAGTTTCAATCGCTCTCTCTTCGGCAGTACTATGAGGAGAAGGGCATCGTTTTACAGACCTCTTGTACCGATACTCCACAGCAGAATGGGGTGTTTGAGAGGAAACACCGCCATCTTCTCGAGACTGCGCGAGCGCTTATGTTCCATGCTGGCTTACCTGTGCGTTTCTTGGGTGAGTGTGTTTTGACTGCGGCGTATTTGATTAATCGGCTACCCTCACCAGTCACCCATATGAAGACGCCTTTTGAACTTTTACTGGGACGTGAGCCTACCTATTCACATCTTCGTACTTTTGGTTGCCTTGTTTATGTCAAGGACACCCATCGTGGTTTGGACAAATTCGCGGAACGTGGGCATGCATGTGTTTTCGTGGGCTACCCGGGTAATCAGAAGGGATATCGTGTCTTTGATCTTCACCTACGCAAGATACTGGTCTCTCGTGATGTCCATTTCATTGAGCACATTTTTCCCTTTCTTGAGAAGACTCGCCCAGCTGAACCACCACGTGCCTCTCCTCCCATGCACTATACGTCGGATTCATGCAGCGGGCTTGTGCGTGAGGGGGAGACTCCCTTGGCGGATTATGAGGCACTCGACGAGGCAGTCTTGGGGGCCGTTGAGCACTTGATCATGAGCAGCTTGATCACGCTGGCGCGGATTTTGGGGAGACAACGAGTGACCATTCCTCCTCGCCGGTTGCTGACTCGAGTGATCATTCCTCCCCGCCGGTAGCCGACTCTTCTCCGTCGCCAGATGTGATCCTGTCGCAACCGCCGCATTCCCTCGCTGTTCCCAATCTCGATGAGGCCTCCGAGACGGCTGGTCCCAGCTTGGCAGCCCCACGCCGCAACCCTTTGCGCGATCGACGACCTCCATCGCATCTTGCTAATTATGAGGTCGAGTTACCTAACACTACTTCTACTTCTCAGCATGTTCAATTTCCCATTTCTAATTATGTGAGCTATCATCGCTTCTCTGCTAATTATTGTGCTTTCCTGGCTGCCATGAGCTCACTTGTTGAGCCACGCCACTTCTCAGAAGCGGCCCAGTATCAGGAATGGCGGGAAGCGATGCAGCGGGAAATTGCAGCTCTTGAAGCCAATGGCACTTGGACCTTGGAATATTTACCCCCTGGGAAGCGTTTGATCGACTGCAAGTGGGTCTACAAAATTAAGTTCAACCCTGATGGCTCAATTGAACGGTTCAAAGCTCGCCTTGTCGCCAAAGGATTCACCCAGCTTGAGGGTGTGGACTTTCACGTTACCTTTGCGCCTGTTGCGAAGCTTGTTACTGTTCGGGTTCTTCTTGCTATTGCAGCACAGAGAGGCTGGCCTCTTCATCAACTTGATGTCAATAATGCCTTCTTGCATGGCGATCTGGATGAAGAGGTGTACATGAGAGTACCTCAGGGTTTTGCGAAAGAAGGTGACACTTGGGTTTGTAGACTTCGCAAGTCCTTATATGGCCTTCGTCAGGCGTCTAGGAACTGGTATGCGAAGTTCACTGCTGCCTTGCTTGAGTTTGGTTTTACTGTTTCTAAGGCAGATCCTTCCCTCTTCATGTATGAAGCATCGGACGTCTTTCTCGCTGCTCTGATTTATGTCGATGATGTGGTACTCACTGGTAACGACATCGATGTCATCAGTCAGGTCAAGACTTTCCTACATGATCGCTTTAGTATCAAGGACTTGGGACCCCTCAAGTACTTTCTCGGCATCGAGGTTGCTCGTTCTCCTGAAGGTATTGTTCTTTGTCAGCGCAAGTATACCCTTGATATCTTAGCTGACTCAGGGATGAGCGCTGCTCGTCCCAGTGGTTTTCCGATGGAACAGAACCATACTCTGACTCGATCGACTGATGAGCGTGCGACTGACGTGAGTGCATATCGACGACTCGTTGGTCGTCTCCTCTATCTCACTATCACTCGGCCTGACATTGCCTACTCCGTCAACATTTTGAGTCAGTTTGTTCATGCTCCCACTCCTGATCATGTTGCTGCTGCTCACAGAGTTCTTCGATATCTTAAGGCGGCTCCCGGTCAGGGTCTCCTCTTACCTGCTGGTGGTTCTCTTGACCTCACTGCGTACTGTGATGCAGATTGGGCTGGTTGTTAGTCTACCCGCCGTTCCATTACCGGTTATTTTATTCAGCTCGGTGGGGCACCAGTTTCCTGGCGTGCCAAGAAACAGCGTGTTGTTGCGCGTTCTTCTGCAGAGGCGGAATACCGGGCCATGGCCAGTGCTACCAGTGAGGTTCTCTGGCTCCGTTTTCTCTTAGGTGAGCTGCGTGTTCCCCCGAATTCACCGACTCCTCTTTATTGCGATAATCAGGCTGCTTTGTTCGGGAGCGTGTCAGCTCTGGGGAGATTCAGCCACTTAAGATTCATACTCGTGCGCAACTCGCTGATATCTTCACGAAGGCCCTAGGAACTGAGCAGTTTCACACCTTTTTGTCCAAGCTTGGCATTTGTAATCTTCATGCCTCCGCTTGAGGGGGAGTATTGGACTTGGTTGTGCGTTTCTCACTCCATGTAGAGTGTTTTGTAATTTTCCCTTTTACCCGTGTGTATTGGCGAAGGGTATAAATGGCTGGCTGCTCACCTGCGGCAGTCAAGAAAAAACCCTATGCTTATGTTCGCTTCTCGTCATAGTGAAAACTCATCTTGAGAGCTGTGCTCTCCGTGGATTAGTCCCGGTTTCCGGGGATACCACGTAATTCTCGGTG